TCTCTATTGACTAAGCCCTGCCTCTCCACAGCTCTCCCCGTGTAGGGGGCTTTTGTGTGGACTGCCCTCAACTCTCCACAGTGTGACTCCCAGTTTCCCCTTAAACATTCCTAGAAAACAAGAATTGGATAGCTTCAAATATTGGAAATAATGGGGGTGGGAAGATATTGGGAATCAACATGGGAAGAGACTATTTGGAAAAGGGAAAGCTTCCTGAAACCATGCTGCAGTGTTCATTTCTAGGAACATTTGCAAACAAACTAATGTTAAACCTACTACCAGTATGAAACTTGCCCACATTTTATGGAAATTGTGTTGCCATCTAAACATGTTTTGTTATTTCCCAATCCACCCACTGGAATGCGCAGGAAAACTAATACTTCAGTTCAGAAATCGGAAGTTACCCATTTAAAATGGAAGAACTTTCCAGGGAAGTCCATTTAAGATCGGCAAGAAACTCAATAGATTTCAGTGAGCCTTCCAATCAGACAACAAAGTCTGACAGGCTTAAGTACAGCACAGGATCTATATTACTAGGCCTTTTTGTTCTCTCTCTCAACCCTGGTTGGCTATTGCAAAGCCAATTTGGTAGAACTAAGCCAATGAAATGCAACGAAAATCAATTCCCTTTTCAACATCGATCCCCCCTGTTATATCTCTTCGTGTTGGAAAGCAGTGACGTGTAACCCAAAAAGAGTGACAGGAGTCATTTCTGAGTTTTCTTTGGCTGGTGTTCCATCGCCATGGTTTATCCAGACTAGCTTTTGCGTTTGTGTTCATCGTCTTCAGCTACGCATTTTCACATAAAAATTATGTAACTCGGAACATTTCCCTCCCTTGTAAAACACTACGGATGACTAAGACAGGAAGATGTTGCAAAGTCAGAATTTGTCCTGCATAGATAAATTGTTTACAACTTGGACACTTTTACCCCAAAATATGAACATTCTCAACTGAGAGACAATCTCGGACTACAGTGCTTGAGGTCAAAAGCAATAGGAACTGTAGTAAACCAGTATCGTGAGGTTTTGGAGGGTCTAAACCCAATCACCCCTCTCCCCAAAGCTTTAGCGTTTACAACAGTAGCAAAGTAGTTATTCTTAACCCTCTGTACTAGCATTAAAAAGTAAGTTGCACTTGTATAATAGTTCACATGAATATTATCATGAATTAAAGACAAAGTTACTAATTGAAAAGGAACAGAAATCTAACCACCCTAGTGAAATAGTTTAACTATTATTAACAGCCCTGCCACATAAGCCCTGAAGATACAAACCAACCAAATGCAAACAAAGTCATTTCTAATGATACTCGAAGGCTAAGTCTAAAAGACGCATTTCCAGCAAGTTTGGACACAAATCATTTTTTTCTGTCAACAATTTTCTTCTGGACAGAAAAGATGGGTAGGGGCCCATGAAACTCTCTCAGAGCAGGAAATACCAGTTTCAGAAATTGCTTTGAAGCCGTTATTTTATCAGTAGCATGAGCCTTGACATGAATTAAACTCACTCACAGCCACTGCTGTTTGCCAGGACATACCGTATGGGACCAGCATGTCCCGTCCCAGGTGTGTGGCACTGTCAGGTGTCATTGATTCGCGGCAACCTTATGGGTAACATTGGGAGATGCTGCCTGGTCCTGATCATCTTCATGGGGACTGCTGCATTTGAATCCACTCCTTTGCCACATAAGCCCACCAAACAAAAAGAAGCTATGGTAACTTACAATTGGAGTGAAGCAAGCTATTTCCTGATGCCAATGAGCTCTTCGTTCCGCAGTTTTCATTCAAAGTATGGAGCCATTTCAGAGTAAAGAATGAAATCTTTGAACCAAGAGTCTCAGATCTACGTGTTCATAGATGCGCAGACAACAGGGGGTAAGTCCAGTAGTGTCTACACCCTCTGTGACAGTACAAAGCCAATAAAACATTAATTATTCTGAGAACCACAGCATCCTGGTAGCTCAGGATCACACACATTATCGTGGAGTGGGGCCCGTTTTTATGTTTTCAAAAGGAAACAAGACATCTTGTAAAGGGCACACCAACTTTAATACAGTGCTAAACAAAAAGCAGCTTAACATTTAAACAGTAATGAAACAAAATGTTTTTTTTTTCCCCATTGGATTATATTTCTGACTAATCAAAACTTTGGTAACCTTTTTCTCAGGACTGACCACATGTGAAAAAGCACGTTCACATTAAAATGCCTCCACCTGGATTTCAAATTCTTGGGGGAGAAAATATTCCCGATCATCCAACTGCATCTTGTTTATTCAAACACAGGGAGGGTTGTGATTTCTGTAACTAGGATGGCGTGAAGACAACTAAGAGATCGCAGGCCACATTTCCAACAAGAATACAATTTGCATGGAGACTGAAACGTGTGACTTGTGTAGCCAAGTTCTGAGAGTGCCACAGCACTGCATGTTCTAAATGAAACCCTTCAACTCCATGAGCCGTGAAAGTACTGCTGGTACGGAAAACGAGGCTGCTACTTCCTCCCTTCAACTCTTCAATGAATAGCTGCTTCTGTTTCGGCACTGCAAGAACAAAGCACCTCTATCACACAAGCACAGAAACACACGGCTCAACTATGCAGATACTCCGGGCGCGCATCTCAAAGCCAGGGCGGGCTCCACAGGTTCAGCAGACTGAAGGGACTGCAATGGCTGTGTGTACTGATCCGTGTAGTACATAATGTCCAAGGCCAATGTCACACCAAAAGTCCAGCTAGGACTGACTCCTCAGGCTCATTTTTCTTTGACCTTTTTTCATTGGGATGGCCACTCACAAAAGCAGCCAAGTTGCCTGGCCCATGCCTGGGTCCCCATTCCTCCCAAGGGGAGCCTGGTTTAAAATGTGGCTGAGGATTTTGGGTATGAAAACGCAATACTAGACAACAAATTGCAATGGGATTCTAGTCCAGACTTCTAGAACTCTCTGTCCAACGACTGGCTTAATAGAGGAGAAATGGATTGTTCCATTGTTTCCCAGCTTCCCCATCTAGCTGGGTATGCCCCAATCTGAGGGAGGAGCTAACCTGAGGTAGCAGGACCACTATCAGACCATCTTGCACACCTGAGTGTGGGCCTGGCACTGGTGAACAGTACACAATGATCAGTGTCTCAGTGCCACCAATGGGGCATGTGCCCATGCAGTTGTGTCCTCCCAGCACTCCATGTGTGAGCTGCCCCACCCACATCCACACCCACAGCTGAGGCCAGGAGAGGTGCTAACAGCAACCTCAGAGGCACACGGCAGGGCTGGCCATCTTCAATTCGGTGGAAAAAACTAGGAAACCCTACTTAGTGCCAGGTTTACTCGGTTGCTATTCTTCCCCACAAATTGGGTGGGTGGGTGGGGGCTGTGGTGGTTAAAGGGAGCTTGCTTTTCATTAGACTGGCGATCCCCGAGTGTGGGCTCTTGGAACTCCTGAGGAGGGCAGAGCGAGCAGCATGCCAAATCTTTGGTACAGAGAGAGCAGTGACGTCTTGGGCAGGCTGAAAGGATTTCAACTCTCCTGTGAGCTGGGCAAGGATCCAGAGGCCCACAGTGGAAGTGCATGCACACTGGGAGGGGGGTTTGCACTATTGACCTTGCAGGTAACAGCCCAACACCTAACCCACAGCACCACCAGGGTCCTTTCTATTGATTGCAAAGACCAAAGAATCCCTTGGGGCCTTTTCCCGCTTGCCTTGGGCTAGCTTATTTCAGTTAACTTTTCCCTCCTCAGCAAACACCTACCAAACCAAAAGCAAACTCGCTGCCATGGAGACAGGGCTGGGCACAGCAACCCATGTGGGTTTCCAAGACTGTAACTGTTTATGAGAGCCGAAAGCGTCGTCTTTCTCCCGAGGAGCTGCTGGTAGTTTCAGACTGCCAACCATGTGGGATCACAGGCCAACTCTTAACCACTCTACCACCAAGGCTCCAGCAAACACCAAGCCTTGTGCTAATAAGATGAAGTACGTGCCTGCCGAGCCCAAGAAGATGGTAATGCCGGGCTTTGCAGGGTGAGGCAGGGAGGCAGCCCTAAGGGGCAGAGCGAGGAGAAGGGCAAAGGAAGGCTCTAGTTGGCTCTATTTCTCACTGGTAGTGATTTCTATGTGCTCCCTAACAATACAGTTTCCATACACTCGGTGTGAACCCAACCCCTTGCATTTCATGCCACAGAAGCCCGGGCCTTGGCAAGACCGCCCCCCCCCCTCCCCCCCAGTTAAAATCAGGATGCCGAAAGTGCATCCCAACACGTTTTATCTCTTTTCACGCTGTGGCTTTTTGTTTATAGCATTGTTGTTGTTTTCTAATATGCATGATGAGCTGGGGGGTGGGAGTTTAAACTAAAAACAGATGCATTATTTGCTAACATATTCCAGAACCCCAGAGAGCTTTTTTCAAAAAGGCCTATTTTAACTTACTCAGAGATCTGAAATTTTCAAGTACGTTTGCCTTAACTATGGAAAAATAAAATACAGTAGGCAGCCTGAGGGCAGGGCAAATCCGAAATCCACTTTGGGGCTTTCATTTTGGACTTCCAGGAACCACCTTAGCCCTCGAAGGCACTCCCCCAAAAGAAGGACAGGCTGGGAGCGGAGGCTGTGCTCGGGCCAGATGACAGGGAACCTCTCAGGCAGGTTTTCCCATCCACTCAAATGGGTTTGGGGGAAATTTTATAAAAAATAGCCCTTATGCATCCTTATTTCTCAAAGAATTCTGATCTCCTTAGTTTTATATTTAAAAAATTGATAAGTGGATCAGGAGTCAGGACTCCTGATCACGTGGGAAGGGGGAAACTGCCCAGTCTCACAGCCAGGAGAGTGGCCGGCTCAGAGGTGACCAAGGGCTCCCCTTTGTGGGTGACAGGAGGTTCAAGGACACCGTTGCTTGGGAGGAATGAGGGTCAGTCAGAGGGGCGTACACAGCCAAGGATGCTGGGTATTGCTTAGTAGTCTCAAACGGTAAATTAGGAGGGACCCATATGCTTCTGAGTAATACTGAATAGGGGATATACTTACACCTGTATTTGTAAAAGACACTGTGTCACAAGGTAAAATTGATTTTTTTAAAAAGCTTAAGTCTATAGTTTTAGAAATTTGAATTTGAAATATGAGAGGTGCCAACTGGAAGAAAAAAAAAAAGGAAGCCAGTACAACAGTGGAATGGAAAAAAAATAACACAAGAATGCCCGCCATCATCACGCTAACAGATAGATCTGGAAAACACCACCAAAGCAGTCATGAGATTCAGACTGGGGCTGGTCAGTCACACTCGTTTTCCACGTTTGTACCCGAGTCAACCATCCAGGACGCAGAGATAACGCACACGTTATCAAGCAAAACACTAGATGGCTGTCACTATGGTCAAAGAAAAAAAGTATATTAATTCTTATAGATGTTGGAGAGCGAGGAGGGTCACCTGGCATGTGAAAATCTGTGCTCGTTTTTCAGCTAGCGTGGAGCAAGCGTTGGGGCGACCTCATCCATTGTCTGCTGCGGTGATACTTTCTGTCCCTGCCTGCCAGTCGGCTGGGAATTCCATGAAGTACACATGTGGGGAAACCATTAACAACACAAGCAAGGTCAATGGCTGAGGTGGAGGCGGGTATGTGTTCTTTTGCACGGACTAGACACTGACAGACAGACAGCACTTGTCTTGAAATGCTTCCGGAAGGCTGAGTGCAGGAGGGCTCTTTGGCTCGAATCACAAGCAGCTCCCAGTGATGAGTTCGGTGGATGGAATCCGAGTTACTGGACTTTGGCTTTTAGACTACAGCACAGGCGCATTAACACTTGTAGTGTAAGGAGCGCGGTGCGGGGGCACCCCGCTGACAATACTTCTCGGGGTCCCTCCGGGACCGCCAGGGCGGGGCTGTTGTGGCAGCCACGCACACACACTAAGAGCTTATTGAGATGGCAGACTGAAGTGACCGGGGTGACGCCGCTTAGTCGTTGGGCTTGTTCTGAAAGAAGTTTGTAAAGGACCAGCCTCCTCCGCTCGATTTGGGAGAGTCTTCATCTTTCGGGGGGATGAGAAACTGCCGGGAATTGATGGAGCACGGGCTCCCGAAGGAGACCACCTCGCTGTTGCTGTCCGTGGACCGCGGCGAGTCCGGGGAGACTAGAGTCCACGTGGCCACGTTTGCCTGAGGCCGGTAGCCCGCCGCCTTGTCCAGGTCGTCGTCCTCGTCCTCCAGGGCCGGCGTCACCGGGAGGTGCATCTGGGGCTTGTAGCCTGAGCCACCGGCGGGCTCGGCCTCCGCATCTTCGCCGGGCTTCGCCTGCGGCTGATACATGGACTGCACGTCGATGTAGATGACTTGGGCAGGGCCGCCGGCTTCGTCCGCCGTCGCGGGGTTCGGGATTTCCTCCTCAATGATTGGGGGGCAGTAGGACACCACCACGTGGTTTTCGGGTTCTGCTTCCGAGCCGACTAGCGCGTGCTCGGCCACGGGGGAAATGATTTCGGTATCTTCGATTTTAGGCACGGTGGATCGCGACTCCAGGACCTCGACGTTATTGGGGGTGCAAGGGTTCATTTCCAACGTCTTCAGGCCATTGTTTCCCTAGAAATAAACACAAAAGCATGGGTTCACTGCGGCTGCGAAGCCCCTCCTACACCAGGGGCCGTCCTAGCTCACATGCCCCTCATGTAAGTGGGAGGGTGGGGGCGGGGGCAAGAGTTCTCCCGCCTCCTCTGTCCTGCACACAATGGGCAAGAAGGCCACTTTCCCTCCACGTCCATCCATCTGCCCTGCGATTAATGGCAGTGGGATGAAGGGGAGACCCTGGGCCAAACCGCTGGTGAGCAACACTCACCACTTCAGCAAATGCTAAACATTTTCATCTCAATACATTTTAGCTAAGACATCATTTCCGCACTCAGAGAGTTCCATGTTTTAGTTGGGAAAACTCAAAAAATAAGCTAAAATAAAAAGGCAGGTGAGGGGAGCACGAGTGGGCAGCACCTCAAAGACAAAGACACATAGAAGAAAATTCCAGATTACCTCGCAGACACTCTTTTGAAACTGCAGTGCTTTACAATTTTCTGGATTTGGAATATCAGGGTAGAAGGTTTCTTTAATCCTTTAAACGAAGAGCGATTAGGTCAATTTAATATTCACAAGAGTATCCATCAGATAACAAATAAGCAAACAAATCCCCGGCACACTTGGACATTTCACGCGGACTTTTCCGTTCACGAGCATCTGCGATACAACAGGCAAGGCCCTTAGGGAGAGGTCACACACGAGGACTTTCTATGCATGCAGTGGGGCGGTCCCAATTTGGAAACAATGGACAACAGTGTTTCTATTTCAGCACTGCTACGGTTGGAGGTGTAGCTCTAGGAAATGGAGTGCAAGAAACGGTACGTGGGCTCTCAAGACAATAGTAACATACAATAGTAACATAGCCCGGGTCAACTGCGGCACCCTGACGGCTTTCCCTGGGCCTTGCGTGGCTTATGGATGCAGATGCTCTAAGTTCCAACTGGGATGAAGATTGCTGAGGTCAAAGAAATGGCATGTCTCCTCAGAATACTAGGTTGTCTGGGAGAGGCAGGTCAGAGACTGGATAATGGGGGAGAGAAAGGCAGGCGGAGACTGGCTTTGAAGCTTTCACGGGTGTGTTTACTCTCAAAGTACGAACAAGTGAGGAGTCCCCACAGAACGTTTTTCTATTTTCCTGATGGGTCTGGGGAAGACAGGGTGGGAGAAGATGTTGATCTAGATCAGTGGTTCTCAACCTGTGGGTCTCGGCTCCTTTGGGGGTCGAATGACCCTTTCATACGGGTCACCTGATTCATAACGACAGCAAAAATTACAGTTATGAAGTAGCAATGAAAATAATTTTATGGTGGGGCGGGTCACCACAACATGCGGGACTGTATTAAAGGGTCACGGCATTAGGAAGGTTGAGAACCACTGGTCTAGATGATGCAATTCTGGTATGACTGTCAACAGGGTTCAAGGTGATTGTAAAAACTGTAACTGTAGAAGGTGTAACTGTATGTTACATGTATGAAATAGAAATGGCTACAAGAGCCAGATGGTGGTCTGTGGTGAAATGAAATTTCTTAATAATGCTTTTCTACCCAAGTTTCTGCAACTCCTGGCTGTCAGGGCAAGCCAGCCCGGCAAAAAGAGTGAGAAATGGAAGCGCGCTCGAGATCTCTGCCTGAAGTGCAGAAGCCGAGCCAGAGGCACCGGTGGCTTTGGCACAGAGCCCATGAGACAGAGCAAAGAAGTAAGCTGACGCCAGAGGCCAAGGCCAAGAGACCACAAGGCAGAACCGGGGAGCAGTGACTACGAGCAGCAGGCAGCAAAGAAGCAGAGGCCGGGGGTACCCCTAGTTGAGAGGCTGAGGACTAGAGACCAGTGACTGTATCCTTACTGTCTGCAGATCCTGACCTGTTAAAGCCCCATCACTGTGCATTTTCTCTGAGCTCCGTGTGACTACTTTAACAAATGATCGAACCCAGCACGGAAGCAGAATGTGGCTGGTGTCAGAATGGGTAAAGAAAAATGGAGTGTGGAGGCATGTCTGACCTTACAGCAACGTAGAAGCCAGAGGAAGTCAGATATGACCCCATGCCTCCCTCACACTCACGTCACAAACGTTTCCCTCTGCAGAGCTAGTCAGGGGCAGCTTCCCATCACTCTCTAGTCTACTCCTAACAGCAGGATCTGCACTGTTAGCAAGGGAGAGCTGGGGTGCTTTAGCTACATGGTTAAAACAACAAAGACAAGAAAACCTAACGGTGAGTAATAAAAGGGATAATCATGTATGGATCAGGGAGACCACACTTGTTTTACTGAAAAAGAAAAAAAATGCTATTCATCTTTGAGTAAAAACAAAATGCAATAGAAAAAGAAAAATACTACCACCTGCTGTGGTAGTTACATAATCTGGTGTCAACTTGAGACTAGTCAAAGTGAAGTGGTGGAGTTTAGTCTGTCAATCGGGTCGCGGCTTGAGGACCTCATTTGAAAGCACTATGGTGATAAATAGCTCACTGGAAGCAGGACACACATACATTCCCTAGGAGACACTCCTGGTAACAAGCCACATGGAGCTATGCTGATAGAGTCAAAGCCCTAGAGCTGGAGCAGCCACGTGGAGACCCACGCCAACATTGAGAAGCTTCTACCACCACTGGATCCACAGGACTTTCCACCCACTGGCCTGTGATCTTCCTGCATGCGGTGTCACTGCATGGCTGAGTGAGTCTAAAAAGGAATTTGTGGACTAGTAACGACATATGGGCTACTATGGGACTTATGAACTTGATCTGGACTGGGCCGAGAGGTTTTCTTAATGTATAATTGCTCTTGGATAGAAAATTCCCTCTTACACACATGATTGTCTATGAATTTGTTTCTCTAATCAACCCACAGTGACACACTTGCCTAGTGTGTAGTGTACTATTTTAATATATTTAACTATTAAATTCAGGCAGGAAAAACAATTTCATAATGCAAGTCTGAAATGCGTTAACTACTATTATAAAAATCCCAAACCAAACCAACAGCATTGAGTCGATTCTGAGTGGTAGTGACCCCAAGGGGCAGCCTCATCTTTCTCCTCATCCGCTGGGTTCACTGAGCGGATCTTTCGGTCAGCAGCCCAACCCGTAATGCACTACGCCACCGGGGTTCCTACTGACTCCTAGCCACCAAACTCACTGCCACTGAGTCCACGACTACTCAGAGAGACCCTTGAGAGAAGAAGGGGTGCCCTGGTGAGTTTATGAAATGGTTAACTTTTTATCATCAAAGAAGCTGGATTGTATGAAGAAAAGTATAGCATCAGGAGTGGAGGAAGGCCTATTAATCACCTGCAGATGACACAACCTTGCTTGCTGAAAATGAGGAAGATTTGAAGCACTTGCTGATGACCATCAAGGTTCGTGGCCTTCGGCATGGACCACAATTCAATGTAAGGAAGACCAAAATCCTCACAAAGGGACCAATAGGACCAGCATGATAAATGGAGACAAGGGGGACGTTGTGAAAGATTCTGCCTTACCTTGCTCCACAATCGGGCTCATGGAGCAGCAGTCAAGAGGACAGAAGACACATTGCTGGAGGTACATCTCCTGCAGAAGACCACTTTAGCATATTGGAGAGCAAGGGTGTTACTTTTCGGAGTAAGGTAGTAAGGTGTGCCTGACCCAAGCCATGGCCTTCTCCACTGCATCATGTTCGTGTCAACGTTGGACAACACGGAATAAGAAAGGCCGTAGAAAGAATGGATGCATTTGAATTGTGATACTAGAGAAGAGGACTGAAAGTACCATGGGCTGCTGAAAGTTAAAACCCATCTGACTGGAAGAAGTAAGGCCAGAGTGGTACTCAGAGGCAAGGATGGCAAGACTCCATCTTACCTACTTTGGACATGCTGTAAGGAGACAGTATCTCCAGTCCCTGGAGGAGGACATGCGGTTTGGCAGATTAGAAGGAAAGCGAAAAAGAAGAAGGCGCTCCACGAGATGGACTGACACAACTGCTGCCTCAAGGGGCTCAGGCGTGGGAATAATTGTGAAGATGGTGCAGGGCCGTGCAGTGTTCCATTCTGTTGTGCATCAGGTCACTAGGGGTTTGTGCCAAACAACAACTTTTTATGGGAGTAGAATGCCTCATCTGTTTCCCTCGGATGGCTGGCAGTTTTGAACTGCTGACCTTTTGGTTAGCAGCCCAGCGTGTAATGCGTAACCCATTACACCACCAGGGCTCCTACTAACTGCTCTAAACTCCCTGCCATCAAGCCTACTCTGACTCCGGGTGAGCCTGTAGGACAAGGAACAGCAGCCCCTGTGGGTTTCAGAGACTGTAACTTTTGATGGCAGTAGAACGCTTATTTTCACTCAAGATTCATAGCATGTCTTTTATTCCCTCTCCAGGACAGCAGAGGATTGCCAGGAGATGGCATCCAATCGATGGGTTAACTACTACACGCCCTCCTTATTTTGTCTTGTTTTCCTTTGGGGCGGGGGGTGGGCTGTACTGAGATGATTGGTTTTAAATGTAAAATTCAGTTTTGATCATGAGAAGATGGCCTCAGAACCTGATACTTTATCCATTACCCAGCTGGGCTCTCCCAGTTTACAAGCTGGGGGGTTCAGGGAGGGTGGACTCCGGGCTCTGACATAGGGCCCATGGGGATGCGGCTCTCCCACCCCACCCCATCAGCCACTCAGCTCTGGTCACATTCTCTCTCCCTTTACTCAGCCTCTCACCCCTCCTTTGTCACTTTCTCCAGAAGGTCCTGTTGCTTCCATTTCTGGGCCCCTCACAGAAGTTGTTCTCTCTGCCTGGAACACTCACCTCTGGTGACTGGGCTCAAATGTCACCCCTGCAGAGAGGCCGTGGCTGACTGCCCAGCTTAGCAGACACAAGACCCCCCACCCCCCTGCTCACCTCCTCCCATGGCACCCAACCCCTGCTGCACCCTCTGCAAGCATGTGTCCAGGAGACAGGCCCCATCACAGGCCAGGCTGGTTTGGCTGGCAACGGCACACATCCCCCATCACATGGGAGGGGTCATCCACCCTGAATAGATGAGTGAATGTCCAGGCCCCATGAAATCTTAACCGTGAAGTTACAATTAAATCTCATCTATAGTTATGGCCCTAATTAGACCTGTTAGTCCCCCACCCCTGACCCCAGTACAATGTTGTTACTTGTGATCCGTTAAAAACAACAGGGCGCAATGTCTTCATTTAATTTAAAGCCCTTGGAATAACATGCTGAACTCCTGCCAAGTATGAAATTCAACATGAAATCTGACTACAGCCATGACTTTTGCTAACTCACCACAACCCCAGAGAGGTAGGTGTGCGCGTTCACACAGAGCCTAAAGGACCAAGCCCCAGAGCACAGCCACAAGAGTGATAAATGCGGCCCTTTTACCATTCTCGCTTCCGATAGCAAAGGATACTGGTGACCACTCCGACAATGACAGCCACGGCCACTGGGATGAGGATGGCGATAATTAGCCCCACGGCTGAAAAGAGAAGTTTGCAAGTCATTACCATCCCCATTGTGGGTGTGAGTAGAGAACCAGTGTGTAACATAACAGGGTCGGCAGGTCTTTTGAAAGTGCTGTCAAAATGTAATCGTAAAGCATTACAGTCATTTGAAGGCCCAAACCCAAACCAAACCCGCTGCCACCTGGGCCATTCAACTCATGGTGATCTTAGACGGGGCCTCCAGGACTGTGAATCTTCCTGCTGCGAAGCAGCTGGTGGGTAGGAACCACGGACTATGCACTGAGCAGCCCAAGATTCACTCAACTGCAGCCTTTGGAGCTGTGCTTCTCAATGTCGCCATGCCTCACATTTTAGGTTGGGCAATTCTTGGCTGAAAACAAAAATGCTCTGGTGGCACAATGATTAAGTGCTCAGCTGTGAACCGAAAATCCAGTGGTTGGAATCTACCAGCAGCTTCATGGGAGAACCCACCTAGCAATCTGCTCTGGTCAAAATTTCAACCCAGGAAATGCTCCCGGGCATAGCCACTCTTTCCGACAGCGTTGGGCTGAGTCAGCATCCCGTGAGGGCACCCAACACTGGCGATCTGGGGCTGTGGAGGCCCTTCCTGTTGGGAGTTTGGGAGCCTTTCGGATCTCTACCTAATAGATGCTAAGAGCACCTACCCCCACACGACAGCAAGCACAACTGATACCAGACGTTGCTGTGTCTGGCGGGGTGCAGGTGAGGTTAGGTCACCCCCAGTAGAGAACCACTGCTTTGGAGAACCCCATCTCCTCTGTGCCAAGAGCTGCATGTGAACCCAACTGGGCCGTCAAGTCACAGCAGTGATACAATGATGCTGGAGAGCTACGCTATCGCTCTCCTCTCGCCGCGTTATGAACGGGGCACTCCACAACAAAGGGTTTGTGTGATCTTTCTCTCACTCTTTCCATAAAGATGTTTGAAAGCAGAGTTGGAAAAAAATCAAAACCCAAACCGACTGCGACTGAATCCCCTAGAGTTTTACAGACTATAAACTTTCAGGGGAGCAGTTGGCAGCAGCCCCGAGCACCACCAGGGCTCCCTGGAGGGAGAACAGTTGAGATAAATCAAAGCCACATGAAGTGACTTACATAAATGACAGGAATTTACAACTCTGCCCCTCAGATGCATGCCTACTGCACAAAGCGTTTGTGCGGTACTCACTGCACAAGAGTTTCAGTGACTGATAAAAATATAAGAATAAATAAGGAGCCATCTTGTAAGCTCCTAACATTGTCTTCCATGCAACATTTAAATCAAACAACGCCCCCAATTTTTATTTTAAAAAACCAAAAATCCCAAGTTTTCCCAGAAACCAAATTGCTAGCAGCACTACGCACTGAAGTGTGAAGAACAGCTGGACCAGGACGGCTCACTTACAGTTCTCCTTTGTCACCACGTACATGCTCTTCTCGGGCCCCATCCCACCGTCTGTGTAGGCCCGAAGCACCAGATGGTAACTTGTTTTACCTTGAAGATCAGCAATTCTCAGTGTCTTCTGAGATACGTCCGTAATGTTCTTCACCTTGATGTCGGCGCGTCCTGTTTGCAAGATGGAGGTTATCATGACCAAGCTCCATGCCTTCTCCCATGATTCGTCACGCTCGTCAGGCGCTAACGACTGCTACTCACTGCCACACAGTGATTGTGGCCCAGTGACCCTACAGGACGGGACAGCGCTACCCTCGTGGCTTCCCCAGACTGTAACTCTCGACAGGAGCAGAAAGCCTCGTCTTTCTTCTGCCCACCTGGCACCCAGACCCTTTTGAGTGTAAGTGGCTGCTGGCCACGTCAAGTGCCCAGACTTTGAAGGCAGCCAGAGCCATGTTCCGGCGCTACCTCCCCCAGTTACTAGCGTTCTGGTGGAGGGGGGGTTCCATCATTTAAACCATTTTCAACTTCAATCTCTCCAACTTTTGAAGAGGACATCGCTACTTACCTCACAGGGCTTATTACGCAAATTCTCACGTCTGCTGCACATGAGGAGATTGGCCCCCTTTCTCATACTAAGAGCCAGAAAAACCCCAACAGCCGAGCCAAAGGGTCAGGGCACTGTCGCTCAGGCTGATGCTGCCTGAGCCAGAGGGTCCTGGGCAGAGCCCTCAGTCCCTGCAGAAAATGGGCTGTGTCTCCATGCTCCCCGCCCCCCCCTCCCCCCCAGGGGCAGTGAAGAGAACACTATCGTTTCTTTAAAATCCAATGTATAACGATCATGTAAGAGGCTCAGGAGTGATAAATGACTTGCAACAGAAGCAGAAGCGCCTGCCCTCTGCCCACCATCACGATTTTCAAATCAGTTATTTGAAATCAGCCACATCTCAAAACAACACACTCAGCTTGCTAGTTCTTTCTTTTTGAATTGTGGTTGTGTTGTTGTGGTTGTTGGAAGGTGCCCTCAAGTCCGCTCTGACCAACCAAGACCCCATGCACCTCAGAAGCAAATACTGCACAGTCTTGTGCCACCTTCGTGATTGTTCAATGGCCTGAGCCAACGGATGCAGCCATTGTGTCAACCCCTCTCATCAAGGGCATTCCTCTTTTTCATTGCCCCTCCACTTTTACAAAACACGATGTCCTTCTCCAGGGACTGGTCTCTCCTGACAATATGTCCAAAGTATGTAAGAGGATGTCTTGCCAGCCTTGCCTCGAAGCAGCACTCTGGTCTTATTTCTTTCAATACAGATGTTTGTCCTTTCAGTAGTCCAGGGTTCAATATTCTTCTCCAGCATCACAATTCAAATGCATCCATCCTTCTAATGGTCTTCCTTTTTTCATGGTCCAACTTAAACATGCATACGAGGCAATGGAGAAAACCATGGGTTGGGTCAGGAGCACCTCAGTCATCTAAGAAACATCCTGGTTCTTCACTACTCTACAGAGGTCTTGTGCAGCACATTAACCTACAGCTGTGTATCTTTTGATCTCGTGACTGCTGCTGCCATGAGCATTGATTGTGGATCCAAGTAAGAAAAAATCCCTGACAGCTTCAACCTTTTGTCCATTTATCATGATGTTACCTATGTGTTGCTACCGCCAGTTGTGAGAAATTTGGTCTTCTTTTCATTGAGGTGCAATTCAGACTGAAGGCTGCAATCCTTGATCTTCATCAGCAAGTGCTGCAAGTCTTCCTCACGTCCAGCAAGCACGGTTGTGTCATCTTTATATCGCAGGTTGTTAATAAGCCTTCCTCCAATCCTGATGCCACACTCTTCTACATACAATCCAGATTCTCTGACGGTTTGCTCAGCAGCTCATGCATGAAAGCGATGCGGGCCTTGAAAGCTCAGGCCATTGGGGTAAAAAGACAGAGCACCCTGACACTCCGGCTACTGCTCTCCCTCCCCACCTTCCACACACACGCAACACAACAGTTGTTAGATGAAGTGTTTACACAAGCGTGACCATACAAATAAGTCTTCCTGCTAGGTACACTACGTGGTATGCTGCCTCCTTTCTCGTGCGATGTCCTCTTCCCCATTGTTAAACTGCCTTGGTTGCTGTTGCCATCATTGGGTGCTGTCCATCAGTTCAGATTCACAGCGACGTTGTGCACAACAGAACGAAACACTGCTGCTGTGCCATCCTCACGATTTAAATCGTGAGCCCATTGTAGCAGCCACTGTGCCAAGTCATGTGCCCGGGGCGTCTTTTTGCTGATGACCTACCTCACCAAGAATGCTGTCTTTCCCAGACTCTGGTCCCCACTGAGAACGTGTCCAAAGTGTGTGAGACTAAACCTCCCCGTCCTCATTTCTAAGGAGCATTTTGTCTGAACATTCTTTCCAGAAATTCCCTTTCCCCCCTTTATTGGTTTTCAGTATACCATATCCTTCAATGATTACTCAATACCATTTCCAACAAAATGGTCAAATGAAAAATACCCAGCCCTCCGCCCCATGAGCCCTCCCACGCTCCTCCTGCAAGACCTCTGGGCAGCTGCCCTAGGGTCTCCTGGCCGTCTCCTGTCTGCTCCCTGGGGTCTCTCTTACTTGCTTTCCTCAACTTGATACACAGCACTGGCCGCTTCCTGAGAAAGGGAGCACGGAGGGAGCAAACAGTTGCAAACTTGCATGTCTGAAAGGGGCTCTCATGGGTTGACACGTGGGCACAGGACAGAATTTTGGGTTGAAAGTCATGTTCACTCCTCATTTGAAGACATTCCCTCTGACTCCTTTCAGTGTGTGGTCCGCTGTTGCGCAATCTGCTGCTAGTCTTAATTGCTGTGATCCCTTATACATGGCCCTTTCCCTTCATCATTTCCAAGACTATTTTGGGATATACTAAGTGCTCTGAAATTTTTTGGTGACATACCTTACTACAGGGGCACCCCCCCCCCGGATTTCCTTGTGAACCTGTCCTGGGGAACTGCCCGATGGCAATCCGACAATCTCAGAGGTCCCTTGCTCCCTCTTCACTCGGTCTCTACATAGGCACGCAGATCGGAGGCCAGCCCTCCAATGCTCCTTCAACCCCAGCTTCTCTTCTGTCTACTTTTGGGAAGGTTTCCAGCTTCTAAACACTGCTTTTTAGTTTTCTTTTAAAATTCTTTGATTGCATTTTAATTTCAAGGTGCTCTTCCTGGCCTTCTGATAAGTCCTTTTTAGAAAAACACAGCTTTCCTTTTTTGTCATCATTTTTTATTATCAACTAGGTGGTGATTTACATTTCAGGTAATCAACTTTGCATTCAACAACTGAAACTGCTTATTCACACCCATCCTGCTTTTACCTTACAATACCCTCCCTGCCCCCCTTCTGATTTTTCTGTTTTCTCTTAGGCATAACCATCTTGCCCTTCACCCAAGCCAGCACATGTCAACCCCTTAACCTACTGCTTCATCCCTTTCTTGCCCTCCTCCCTGGGGACACTGTGCATCACCTCCTCATGGCACGGATGGACCCGGAGTGCATTCTGCTGAGTGAAACGAATCCATCACAATAGGACAAATGCTGTAGGAGACCAGAGCTATAAAGAAAACAAGCCGAGACACAGGAGGCTTACAGCACGTCGTTTCCGTGAACACAATAGTCTCTCAAATGTCTCAGCAGAGTTCTGCTTTGGATTTGTTGGTCCACGTTGTACCTGCTTCCTTGGACTCCTCTGGCTTCTCCTCTCTGAGATGAGGCTTTGCCCACCACCTGGTGATCCCTGGCTGCCAGTCATGTTTCAGAGAGCCACTGGAAAGTGAACTTGGTTGGAGTCAGGGCGCATGGGTGGGGTTTACTGATTGAAGGGCTTCACTTATCCCTGGTGGAGCACAATGGGTGGGTTCCTGACTTTCCTAGGAAAAGTCTCCTAAATGTCAGCAACTTTCATGCCTTTTCTCGGGGACCATTTGGTATTTCTGCAGGAAGACCTGATAATCTCCTGCTGGGGGAAGATGTTCTAACAGTGGGGTGGGGAAAGGGCCAAGGCAAGGCCACACCAGTTAATAAGCTATAACAAGTCCAAAACCAAACTCAACGCCTGAGTTGAGGTTTCATCTAATTGTCTGAATTCCAGAGGATCTCTGGTTCAGTTTCTCCAGACAATAAGCCTCTGGTCTTCTCCGGCCACGAGAGAAGGGCAGTGACATTAGCAGTTAAGAAGTAGATAGCAGACCTGGGCTATACAACTGCTCTTTAGGCAGACTTCCAGTCATAGCCCTTGTTATACACTGGGCTGCTGATCAGCAGTTCAAACCCACCAGGCCCTCCTAGGGATTAAAGCTGAGGCTTTCTACTGTCGTGAAGATTTACAATCTCAGAAACTCAAAGTGGCAGTTCTACCCTCCCCTCCAGGATCACCAGAAGTTGCAATCACCTTGATGGTGGGGTTGTTTTCTGTTTTTATGCAGACTTTCAATCAACTCTGCGCTCAGCTCAGATTCCTAGTCATCTGGCACCCAGGCTTGGTTCTGCATGGTGAACCACAGCCCGGCTCACTGGGACTCGCCCATGGGCTGTCCACACGTAGGGCTCACTATCCTGCACTCTGTGCAGGCACTTAGCTCTCAGCTCACATTCATGAATCCTCTTGTGCACTGTGGTCTCGCCTCTCCATGCCCGCCTGCCTTTGTCGCCGAATGCATTTTTCTCTTCTTGACACTAATTTTGGTAACATGTTGGGAGTGGAAATAAACACGCGTGACTAATCCACCATGAGTAACTGGAAGTTCGGATGCTCACACTGCAACTGGGTCGAGTGTGAAATTGCTGAGTGTTTGAGGAAAATTATACCAGCTCTGCGAGCTGAATGACGTTGACATGCCGGGTTCGCTCATCCAAAGGCAATTCTGAAGGCTCATGAGATGCAGCACATAGTGATCTGGGTGAGGCACACCTCTGATGAAGCTGCAGCTCTGGGGACTTGGTTTATTTAGCTTGTGCCCTGTAAGCATCTCCGGGCGGCTCGGGTACGTTCTACTTGCCAGACAGCTGTTAAATAATTGAAACCGCTTCTTGCCAAAGAGGGGTCACGAAGGGAGAGGGGGCCTCTCAAGTTGAAGAGATGATAAGCGTGTGTTTTATATGTTCGTGGGTTTAAAAACATGGCTCCTAACAAAAATTTAATTGGGGAAGGAGTTAAGAAATCTGTGTAAACAACTGTTTCAGTATATCTGGGAATTTGCTAAGGTCTCTGGACTGAGGCCAATCAATCAGGGCTTCAGACTGAAATCTTCCTCTCCGCCCGATGTACTGAGGCAGCATCTACACTTGAACAGGCTTTACCGCAGCCTCCTGAGTCCAAGCCAGTGCTGTGCACACGTATCCCCTGGGGATCTTGTTAAGGTGTGGATTTAGAGTCTATAGGTGGGATGGAAATGCAAATTCTTCACGGGAGGAAGGGGGCGAGAATCAAACTGAAATGAACCGGGTGGAACTGCCAGAAAACTCACTGAATTTTGTGGGCTGTCATGGATCTGCATGTCCATTTCTCAGGGGGCCAGGCCCACCAAGGACACGAGCTGTGCGGCGGCTCTTTCCTTTAACAACTGAGATTCTGAGTACGAGACAGACTTACTGCTCTTTGTGATGATCTTTATACGCTGCAGCACATAAAGCTCAGGCAAGGCTTGGGGCAGACAGGGGTGGAGGAGGGTGGGTTGGTGGTGGTGGTGTCCCTGTTCTCTGAGGGCTTATACTCAAAGTCTTTCCAAAGAAATGGCTTACTTTTTTTTTTTCAAAGGCCAGAGCCCCCAGCACATGGCAAAATCTTTAAAGCTCATATTCGTAAGACTTTTGCATTTTCATTTCCCCGTTTGTCACCGTTTTGGAAACCTGTATGAAGCTCTCCATCAGCACTGTCTCCTTCTTTTTCTCGTTCTTTTGGCTCATGAGGCCTTCTCCCCCAAAATGTTTTTCCCGCTCGGCCGCGAATTCACATACCTGACTCCAAGCCTCTCATCTTGGAGGTGCCTTGCTCGCCTTTCCCAAAATAGAATACGTAGCCTCTTAAAAAGCCTCTAAGCTCTTCCACGGGGACATCTTCCCATTTCACTAGGATCGAATCTGCGGACGTATCTTCAACAGTGAAGTTTGGGGCGACAACTGGAGCTGTCAATGGAGAGAGACCAGCTGCTAAGGGCTCGGTTACCGACACAGGCTAAGTCACTCCTGTCTTGGGAGATGGCGAGCCTCAAAAATAAAAAAGGGATTCGAAAAGTCCATGGGAAAATTCCATTACCCTCTCAGGACCCTTTTCCAGAAACGGTTTGAAGCTCCCTCTCAACAATCCCCGCCTCCAAGTGCTAAGCTTGGATTACAACGTCATTCTCTGTGTAATCATAGGTTTTCACAGGAGTATCGCAAACATGTAACGGGGCACTTGTAATAGGCACAGCCCACGTAAACTGGAACAAAAGTGGAAGCTAGAATACAACTTTGAGACAAAATACACTTCTTGGAAAGCAAACAGCGTGCACGTGTGAAAGGACTATTCAACGAGATCCAGCCAGCTCTCCCTGCACTGCCCGGCTGGAGGACAGCTCAGGAAGAATGGAGCACTCCGGCCGGTAAGGAAGCGTTCTTGGTGCTCATTAAAAGTCTTTCACATCCAGGTAAACTTTCATTTCCTCCGCTGACAAACAAGAGTTGGTTAAGCTTAGATAATAAAACAGACACAGTAAAAACAGAGCATGAGTAAACAACTTTAAATGTACTTTAACCATGTTTTTTTTCCTCCCTGAACCAAACATTATAATCAATAATGCAACCTATTTTCAAAATCCAATCTTACTACTGGTGCTGATTTCTAATTTCTCCCATGTTGTCCTTATAAACTCTAAAAAGTAAGCGTGCCCCGGGACTTACCCAGTTCTTCTGTGTACCCAATCACAGAGCGCAGCAGCTGATAGCCCTGCTGTCTGCAGCCGTACAGGAAAAAACGGTATCTCACGCCAGGCCGAAACTGAGCTGCAGGGGAACACAATCAGGGAATGCTGATAAATACAGGGCCGTGGCCTCTGCTTTAAAAAATCTTGACTATACAAAAACTTTGGACGTTCTCAAAGGAGCCCTGGTACCACAAAGGTGAAGCTCTTGGTCGCTGTCTCTGACAGGTCAGTGGTTCAAAACCACCCGCTAAGCAGAGAGAGAGATGTGCCCTTCTGTTTCCTTGGAAACGGGGGTTCAGTTCCATCCTGTCCTTCAGGGTGGGTCTCCAGAGGTCAGAATCAGCTGGACCTCCAGGGGCTCGGGTTTCTTTTTGTTGTTTTAATGTTCAGAGCTAATTTTTAAATGGATGAAATTATAAAATGAAAACATCTGTATTTTCAAGGTGGGGAAACACAAAAAATCAACTAAACAAAAATTTAAGAACTAGCTCCAACTTCTACTACAACGAAAGGTATGGTATTCCAACATGCCTCTCCATGCTAGGCAGGGGTGGGGGCTTATATTTTGTTCTTTGGAAGCTAGCAAAGACAACTTTTCCCTAGACTTGATCTAGGACGGACACCATGGCTACAACAGTGGGCTCATCGCTTGCTTGCCCATCGCCAGCCCCATCAGAGGCTGTAAGACTGTTAGCTCTGGGCTGGAAAGAGCCACGTCCGCTCCCCCTTGTTCTGCCTTACCACGTGCTTCAGACAAACCCAGGTTCCCCCGCAAAGTGCGCCCCCTAGTGCCTAACTCAGGAGGACAAACAAGGTCCGGCAGGACCTGAACTGCAATTCAGAAAGCCTTTCTGAAAGCCCTCCTCCTTGTCCCGTGAAGTGTGTGAGGTGTTGGGGACACAGAGCTGGCCAAAGCAAGGCCTGTGGCTCAGAGAAGAGGGACGGAAGGAGGGAGGGAGGGGAGGGGATAATCGGGACTGCTAGGAAGATTCCTGTGGGAACAAGTACAGCCAGAATGCTCCTTCAAAGCGAGGATGGTGAGCTTGAACCTCACGGACTTTGGACATATTATCAGAGGATCTGGTGCCCAGGAAAGGACATCACACTTGGCAGCAGTCAGTGAGAAAGAGGAAGAGCCTCAATGAGCTG